TAATTCCTTAATAATATCAATTTTCAGTCAATATTTAACTTTATCCAATCAATTTATAAATATTTTGGTTATAGTTGGTTTGTTTGAACCAGGATTTACACAAGTAACCCTAGAACTCTAAACAATAATGAAAATATTTATATGCATATTAACATATCCCATTTTATCAGCTGATTTTATAGAATTTATCTGATGTGATCTGGTAGTTCTGTTTAGATATGTGATTTGAACAAAGATTACTATCCCCATCATGTATATGAAAAAAATAGATCCAGAGATATTAAATAACTTGCCAGAAATATCACATCTGGAATTCAAACACAGATGTTCAAATTTAAAGTCTAGTGCTATTTCCCTTATTTCAAACATGGTTGAGCCTTCAGAGATTTATAATGCCTGATTGGATCTAACAAGACTTATTATTGGAACTGCAAAGAAACAAATATTCCTCCACTTCTCAGCCTTATACCTTGAGATGTATTTATTTCTCAAGTGTGTTCCCTCCTCTCCATCTCTGCCACCTGGTCCCTGGTGTGGACTTTCATTATCTCTCTCCTAGAGCACCAAAGGCCTAAATGATCTCTAAGTCTCTGGTGCTGATCCTCTTCGATTTCTCCTCCACTCCATTGCCAGATGAATCTATCTAAAACCAAACTTGGCCACCTTGACTTCCCTGCCTAGTAACATTTAACAATTCTTAAACTGATATTTATTGAAAGAAATATTCTCAAAGGGCTATAAGTTCCTTTTGGAAAACCTTTAAAATTCCTGTATCTTAAGTGAAAACTTAAAATAATACAAGAATCTTTTGAATCATTAAGATGATCACCTAATAAAAAAGTACTGCCACCTACCTGACTTCAGTACCCATGACTGCATTTAGAGTTACAGTAACACCTGATGATGCTAAAGCATGCTGTATAAATAAAGGTTTTTGAAGTTGTTTGGCTAGTAGTAAAAGTGATGAGATAATTGAGTGATCATATAATACATGCATAGTCATGCAAAAGTCAAAAGAACTTATACTATGACATTTGGGACCATACCAATTGCTATAAAATGCATTGTCAAAACACTATTGTTGTACATACCATATTGCAATGGGTTTTATTTCAGTAGGTATATTGGAATATAGCAAGTTAACTGCCTTTCTAAACCCAATTCCAGAGATAATTTGATTAATCACTTAATGTAGAACTCAATAATACCCAAAAGCTAAACTTAAACAACGTTTATAGCGTTAGCAAGTAACACCATTTAAATTGGCTTTTCAAGCCTAGTAAGAGCAGAGTTTGCATTAAGGATTAGGCCAGATGATCCTGACATAGCAATTAAATCTTTGAAGTGTGTAATACTACTTTGACAACATACTTTTTCAAAGAAGGCATTGAGGTTAGAATAGAGAAAAATATTTTACCTATTAAATTAAACCATACAAAATAGCCAAAGTTCAATCATTATTGATCTACAGAAATGTCAAATATTGAATTAGTGATGATAGTTTGAATTCACTGATTTCTTAAATATTTTCTTCTTCATTTGTTTTCATTTTTTCTCATTGTATTAGTTTTCTAGAGCTGCCAAAGTAAAGTACCACAAACTGGGTGGCCTAAAAAAGCAGAAATTTATTCTCTCTCAATTCTGGAGGCTGAAAGTCCAAAATCAAGGTATTGGCAAGGTTGGTTCCTTCTAGAAGCTCTAAGGGAAGACCTATCCCATGCCTCTCTCTGCTAGATGCTGGTGGCTGCTGGCAATCTTTGGCATTCCTTGGCTTGCAGCTGTATCTACCTCCATTGTCATGTGCCATTTCCCTGTGTGTCTTTGGGTCTCTGTATCCAAATTTCTCTATTCTGTTAGGGACACAAGTCATTCAATTAAGGCCCACCCTAAACAACTATGTCCTTATCTTGACTGTATCTCCAAAGACCCTATTTCCAAATCAGGTCACATTCATAGGTACTGGGGATTAGGACCTCAACATATACTTTTAGAGTACACAATTTAACCCACAACAGTCATATTGCAAGGTATAAGCATAAGAAGTTTTAACCTAGTTTTATTTTTTAATATATTTGCCCAGTATTTTAAATATGCATAATATAAATCATTATTGGGCTTCTCCAATAATTGTCTTTTTCTTTAAAAGGAATCTGTTTATGATTCATGTATGAGAAGCCTTGTCTTAACGTACAAAGCCTGAGATCTCTCTCACGTCACATTAGACATTCAACAGCCTGAGACTGGCTTTCTGCACTGCCATCCACCACCACGACACCTTGGTTCCTTGCCATTTTATGCCGCAGCAAAATAGAAGGCTCCTTACAATTCCTCAACACACAACACATTATTTTATGCTTCCTTACCCTTGTTCATTCTGTCCCCTCTGCCTGGAATGTTCTTCCCTTTCAAGCTTTCTTATCCCCCAACTGTGTCCTCTTCTAACACCTACACAAAGTCTCAGTTCGACTGCCATCTATTCCTAAAAGTCCTCTATGAAGACCAGCTTCCCATCAGAGCCACCACCAAGCCGATGCACTGAGTGAAATGGACCCTAAGAGGGCTCCCATTTTCCTGCATGTCTGTCTTTCAACAGACCATAAACTCCATGATGTCAGGGACAGTATCTTGCCCATATTTTAATTTCCAGTTCTTAACACAGTGGTCATCTAGATGTTAAGTGAGTGTCTGCACAGATGGGATAGAAAGAGGTCCAGCCACAATTTTCACTTCTCAGGGGAAGTTCCGAGGTGCTGTTTGCATTCTAATTTAACACGCCTGCTGAAAGAAGTATTCCAGTGCCCCGTGTGGGAGGTTGGCATCAGAAGCTTGACACTTAAGCAGCGAGCAAACACAGACAAATATCCCTGTCCTTATCCCTGACTTATTTGTCTTTTTTGATGAGTATATACCCGTTTTTATGAGAGAAATTTGTAGATTTGGGGATTTGGAAAGATCTCAGTGGCTCAAAAAGTCTAGTTTTGTTTTGCTGAGTATCCTGGGTGCATAGAGAGATCTAATGGAAGAGGGGACTGGAAAGATAGAACGGGTTCACGCGTTAGATGACTCTGAAAGCCAAAATAAAGTTTTGAATTTTACTTTCCATATACTGAGTAGTCCCTTGTTTTTGAGTAAGGAACATTAAATAATGACATGTTAAGAGATGATCCATTTCATTCAGACCAAAATGTCATACACTGGGTTTCTATACTAAGCATAATGGAATCAGAGCTCTATTAATCTACCCTTGTCAAATTATAGGTAATCTAAATATTATTCCCATTTGGATTTTGGAAGTCGTGTACTTATGCGTGTATATATCTTGAATTTTTAATATTTCACAAATAATAAAATCACTTTATTTTCCAGATTTCTTTTTTGCTAATAATTAGCTGCTGTCATTTCTCATAATAGCTTAAAATAAAACCCTGTTTCATCTAGAAACTGGTTGGTTCCAATTTACTCTGGGCTGATAAAATGGTTCGGTCAGATTCTTTATTATTTTTTTCAAAGCTAGTTAAATCAGTTTAGCAGTTATCTAAAAGCAGCTTTGCCTATTTTAACTGAATTCTTTTGTTATATTTAAAAGTTATGTTTATCTCATTTGGAGTTATTTAAATTCCCAACTTCCTTTTTAAAATAGAAGTGGTAACTCATTATATGGGGATAAAAAGGTATGAGATATGATAAATAAATATAAGGTTTAAAATTAAATTCGCCTTAGATAATTCATTATTATAGTCAAGTTAAAACCAACATGGATAGAATTACCAAAAACAGAAACAAAACTCTCTAACCAATGTGGCATTACCTGAGATCCATGCTGCAAAGCTAATGATAAGTTAGCTGTGTTTAGAAGAATCTAGTCTAAAAAAATACATTTGATGAAATTAACTTTGAAATGGAGACATTGTGTATGTGTGAGGTAGTCATAGTATAGATTATAACCCACATTTCCTTTTTAAAAAATGGCTCTCTACATGCTGTTTGTGGAGCCATTACAAAATTTAAGTTCTTTAAAACTCATGTGTTAAGACTAATTATATTTACTGCGTAGCTAGGTAACCTTTTGATTTTTGTTTGTGAAATTTGGTCTGAAATCACAAAATCATGAACTTTTCTACTTGGTAGGGATACAAATCAAGTTTAGCTCTCATTTTTTCAGATAAAGTAAGACTTTAAAAGGAGACTGTTTTAGTTTACCCAATGCTTTATTACGTACAATAAATCTTGGAGTTTAACTACTAGTTGGTGGTTAAGACTTGCAACATTTCCAGATCAATATTCTGAACATCTCCCTTGCAGCATTTTCCTTTCGCAATTTTCTTGATGTGATGAAAGAGTTTGAGTGAAAGTCCGTTTGTCTCAGAATTTAAAATACTCTCTCAACCACTTAGAGAAAAGCCTTCCTTGTGTTTATTTTAATCAAGTTTGCCTTTCTTCCCCCTAATGTTGAAAACAGATTGCAGGTGGGAAAATTCTGCTTAATTAAAGATTTGAATGAGCGGGGTTTAATTTATCAAGGTTTAATTATAAATTAAATATATGTAAATTAAATGTGACCGCAGATCCAAGTAGATTGCTTCTATTCACCACAGTTAATCCTTCCTAGGTTTGAAAACTGAACTACTCATGTATCAAAACTGATTTTATGATTTTCTAAAAACAGCTGTGTTTCTTTATTTCTGAAAAGTACTGTGTTCCAAAGGAAACAGCAACCATTCCTCAGTATCTCAGTGACATTATTTATTATTTTTCAGTGAAAATTGTGTTTATGAAGAAAATACCAGTGTAGTTTTCTTGAACCAAATACACTGTATTGTAGCAGTTTATATGGGCTCGTTTAAATGTATTAATATGTGTGTTTTTCATTCATACTTGAAAATTACACGAATCCTTTCCAATAGATTTTATTGTAATTACTGTATCATAATATTTATATAGGTTTGTCAGATTAATGATGGCATTTTTATGTAGTGTATGATTTTCTTTTCTATATTCAGGTTCTCTCTTTAGGAGCAGATGTCCTGCCAGAATATAAACTGCAGACACCGCGCATCAACAAGTTTACGATACTGCACTACAGCCCTTTCAAGGCAGTCTGGGATTGGCTTATCCTGCTCTTGGTCATATACACTGCTATCTTCACACCCTACTCTGCAGCCTTTCTCCTCAATGACAGAGAAGAACAGAAAAGGCGAGAATGTGGCTATTCTTGTAGCCCTTTGAATGTGGTAGACTTGATTGTGGATATTATGTTTATCATAGATATTCTTATAAACTTCAGAACAACATATGTAAATCAGAATGAAGAAGTGGTAAGTGATCCCGCCAAAATAGCAATACACTACTTCAAAGGCTGGTTCCTGATTGACATGGTTGCAGCAATTCCTTTTGACTTGCTGATTTTTGGATCAGGTTCTGATGAGGTAAGAGCTGCTTAACAATCTTATTTTCTGAAAGATTGCAATTATAAAAGTGAATCTATTTTAACTGCAAAAAAAAAAGTGGTTGCTTTGCAAGCTTCCTGTATCTCACAGATGAAATTCATTTTCAATTGGAAATGCTATAAAATTAAATGGAACTACTTTGCCATGGCAAATCAAATTCTATTTTTGCTAAGAGATGCAAAAGACTCTCCATCCTTTAACCAACAAATTAAACTTTGAAACAATAGGTACATAGCACACAGCATATTCCTGGCATGTAAAATCTCTACATATTAATTTCATGGGAGTAAAACTGTCACAACTTAAGTATGTCTCTTTTTTACCTAACTCATTATTGTGGTTTGAAAGAGCAGAGAGTTGTTTTTTGTTCAAATTCTGTGAAGAGAGCACCTTCTGAAATGTCTTGCTCAAAAACTCTTTCTGTTAATAAAATGTAGATTGGAATGTACTTCTTGTGTGTCCCCAATACCATATACAGTTGGAAACTAAGGAAATATGACAAGTGTATGTACACTGAATTCTCTAGATAGAGTCCATAACTTCAATCAGATTCTTAAAAAATTCTTTGATTCAAAAGAAGTTAAGTTCTCCTCCAGGTCCCTCCACTTAATTGCCACTAATTTTTATTGCATATAAGTTTCCCAGATTCTATAATGGAAAGATTTACAGAAGGCATGAAAGTAGTGTGAGGGCTAGGTTAAGAAAAATAAACTCAATGTGCTGAATTTTTTAAATTCAGTGCCCTCTTCTCCCTAAGAACACCTCACCATCTTTATTTTTCCAAGAGGAAACTGAGTCATAACAATCTCTTCTGCAGATGGCTACTACTTTCTAGCCAATGAAGGCTTCAAAAAAAGATAATTCTCCTCTGCCCAGGGGAGCCAACAAGTTTAGAAATAAACTCTCTCTTACAGAAGATGCTGATCAAACTGTGGGTCAGTTATGAGCAGGGCAATGGGACAAGACATTCTTCTTGGTTTCTACAAACATTAAATAAAGTCTCAAGCCTGATTTTCCTCATCTGTAAAAGGATGATGATAATAACACTCTCCTCTCTTAATTTTTTTTATTTTTTAAATTTGAGACTCTAATGAGATAATACATGTGAAACTCTTATCAAATACTAAAAAAAAAAAAATACGCTGCTGTTAAACTAGTTGAACTTTTAATGTTAGATACTCCTACTTGGGTTTTAACTGAAAAACAAGAAAGTGAAATACTTCTTTATTAATGTTTATCTTTAAGTTTCTTACAATAGGCAATTCAGGTTATTACATGAAATAAACTTGTATTGATAAACAATAGAATAAAAACACGCTCTTTCAAAAGTTAAAATATGTACACCAACAACAAAAGCTAGTGATTTGTATAGATAAGCTTAGAACTAGAATGGAAGAAAGTTTAAGTTTATGTCTTTTAAATTTCAAATTCTTAATTTTAAAATACTCTGTAAAAGTCTGAACATAACATAAGCATTAACCCCAAATTCAAATCTAATACTGCTGCCAATGTAGATCTTAGAACTAGAAGTAACCACAAGAAATAATCTATTTCACTCTTCTGCCTAGGAAGTTAAAGCATTAATACTGTTATTCCCATTTTACAGATGAGGCTGCTGAACCCCAGAATTGTTAACTGTTGCACTCAAGCCTACCTTCTGCACAACTCCTATTTAGTAATATTAATATAACATTTTATTCATTCATCAAATATTTATTGAGCAATGTGACAGGTACTCTCTTAGGTTTGGAGATTCAGAAGGAAACCTAACAAAGTTTCTGTTCTCCAGGAACTTACATTCCAGGATTGAAGAAGAGGAAGTAGGGAATGGAAGAGAAGAGAAGACAGATAATAAACAAAAAATTAATAAACGAGGGAGATGATTTTGGGAAACAGTAGATGCTGTGAGGATAACAAAGCAAGTGGATGTGATGAGAATGACTTGGATGGGTGGCTACTCTGGATCAAAGGTTAGGAAAGGCCGATGAGGAGGTGCCATTTGAGTTGAGACTTGACCATAGAGATCCAGCCATATGAAACCACAGTGCAGAGAATTTCAAGCGGAAGGAAACACCGGCGAAAACGGCCCAATTGGGGAATAAGTTTGCCATGTTAGAGGAACAAAAAGGTGGCCAGTAGCAGCCAAGATCCACCAGAGTGAGAGGTGGAGTGCCAAGATGAGAGAAAGGACTGGGACCAAAGCACATAGAGTTGTGGGATTTCTTATTTATTCTGGCTGCAAAGGGAATCTTTGGAATGGGAATGACATTCTGATGGACATTTTGAAAGATTGCATAGGCTGTTTCTGCTGACTGGACAGTCAGACTATGGGCAGGAGAATCAGTTTAGAGCCCATGCTGTCCTTCAGGGAGGACAATATAATAGCTCGGACAGCATGCTTGCAACAGAGATGATGAAAAGTAGAGAAATTTGGGATATATTTTGGAGGTGAGCTGTCAGGTCTTGTTGGTAGATTAAATATTGTATGGAAGAGTATGGGAAAAGGCAGAATTAAGGTTGGTTCAAAAATTTTTTGTTGTTTGTTTATTTTTGTTGAATTTTTTTGGTGGGGGGGATGCAGGGGGTCGCTTAAGCAACGTTTGTAGAAGGTAATGCATTTATCCAGATAGGAATAGCCCGGGGAGAAAAAGATGTGTTGTAGGGGAGAAATTCCTGTTTTGTCCATGTTGAGTGTGAGATGCCTATTAGTCACTGAGGTACAGGTGGCATGTAGGCAAGTCAAGCACCCCCTGAGCAACTAGAATGGTATAGATGTGAGTAGAGGAAAGAGAAATGAGGATAAATTAAAAATTAGATAGGATTATGGCAAAGGTTGGTTTGGATCATTATTTCCACATCAGGGCCATGCACCCAATATCTGTGTGGACCTTTTAAAAGAGTCACAGGATTCATATTTGGTAGGTCTGAAGTAAAGCCTTAAAACCTGCATTTTTTTTAAGTGGCAGGAATGATTTTGCTGTTTAGATATGCAAGATCCTGTGGCTATTTCTGGGACAAAGAAGTCCAGAGAAGGGGTTTCATGTGCTCATAGGCAAATATTTCTACAAAATAAATGCATAAATACATAAATAAACAAATTAGGGAGTGATTTTCAACTAAGTATAAAAACAGTCTAAATTGCTTAATTTTAACTGAATGACTAAAATATTTCTTCTAGGATTAACTTAGAAAAAGTAATTTTGTCAATGTCAATTAAACATTCATGTCTTCCTTGTCAATGTCCCTAAATGTTAAGCTACTGTAACACTTTTATTTACATTTAACTCTAGAGGAATATGTTAACAAATGCTAAGAGGCTATCTTGGCGTATACATTTTTACTAAAGCAGACATAGCATAACTGCTAATATTTTTCTAAATAACCATTTTATTTTTAGCTTAAGTAAATGCAAATCACCTAGTAATGACAGAAGCTCTTCTATAATGTTAAAAGCATGCTGAAGAAAATGAATACTGGCATTGTAATGGGGCTTGCCTATGTCATTAATATCTTTCTAATGATAATGCCATCCAGAGAGACAATAAAAAGAGTCTCTATTTCCTAATTTTTCATCATCAAACATCATGCCACCAATTGCATATTACCTAAATATCATTGATGTAAAACAATAATATTATTGGCTCAGTTTACAGGCAGTCAGCTTTATCTGCCTCAAATTTTCCCATAGTTAGCTTATATCTGTGGCAAATTTTAATTTCAGAGAACAGTTAGAATCTAAAAAACTCTACTTAGTTACATGCTTCATTAACCTCTTCCTCCCCTGAAAATTAGAATTCTTATGATTAAATTATTTGCTGTATTGACCTCATTTCACACTTTATTATTATTTTTCCCAAATGCTGAATATAAGCAAGACAGGCCTTTGAAATTTAAGTAACTACAATACTCTTTCTGGGAAAATCCCAATAGAAAAGAGAAATTTCTGACTTACATTAATATGTTTGTTTCATTAGTGTGATAAATTAATTGTGGAAAAGATATGAGGAAAACTTTAGCAGGCATATGTATAGAAACACTAATCATCTTGTCAGCTATTCTTTCAGAACCTGATCTTTAGATGTCATTAGTTTATTGGAAGGAATTTCTAAAACAGGCACACTCATGTTCAACTTTAAATAGCAAATCCCATTTTGAAGACACATATGCAAATACATGTCTACACATAAAGTAGTATGTCTTTCTCTTTAGATAGTCCTTGAGAATTAAGGCAGAAGTGTCTATTGGCTTGTATAATATATGGAGCTGTTGGTCATGCCTCCTAATGTCTGTAGTATGATGTGAGAGATACAGGATCCCCAATGAAATAAAATAATTTGCTTTATCATTTAGTCATCATTTATATGTGGTTCATTGACTGTATTTTGCTAGAGATGGCATAAGGTATAATTTTTGGTAAAATATTTCTCAGAAAAAGTCAAATTCCTATTTTAAAAATATAACATCGATAGTCATTTATTTGCTGTAACATTTGCTTACTACTATTTAAAATCATTTGACGACCAGTTTTCCATGTTACTATTCGATAAAGTGAGTTTGAATTGCAACAAAATAAAATGTTAATTATAAAATTAAATAATAATAAAAGTGCCTCAGTAGTAAAAGTTGTTAAATATTGAGTGAGTTTTCCAGTGAGGTTTTAAAATCTCCTCTTTAAAAGCCATACTTTGTGAGATTTGGTATTAATAAAGAAATGAAAAACTAGATAATTTCTAAAGTTTCTATACACATTCAAAATATAGCTCTTTGATTGTATTAGTGTCCTTAGAAATATTGAAATAATGTGAGTCACACTGAACAAAAGACTAGGAACTATTATAGTTTCGATGTTATTAAGTTTTATTATTGGGGAAGTAATTCATTGAATGATATATGTGAATACTAGAGCTAGGAGAGAATTAGCTGAAATGAAATCTAAAGCAAAATATGAGTGAAGACTCATGAAATTTATTTCTTGCTAAGTGTTAGTATTTCCTTACTTGTACCCAAACATTTCTTGACAAATAGGATAGAATGATGGATTAAGTAGAAGCTTCAATGACAATTCATTCTATGGACACTGTAAATGAAACCAAAAATCACATACTTACATTTCTCATTTATAGAAGAATAATTCTATCAGTTACCTATAAGCAAAGATCTCAGAGAGTAGGCCTCTAAAATAAAGTATTTTAAATGTAAGATTCTTGAAAATCCTTATGAAGAATAAAGTAGAATTATTTTTTAAATTTTTAAAAAAGTATTGAACATAGATTTTTCTCTTATTAGTGAGGCTTTCTCAGTTTAACTGTAGACAAATTTATTCTTGAGTAGAGGGTTGTTTACTGATAAGAAATTATTTATTTTAATTTCAGGCCTTCAAAAAGAATTTCACTGGAGAATATTGACTAATTTTAAAATATCTAGCAAAAAAAAATCACATAGTCTTCTTGAGTCTGGTTCTAATATCTGACATATTTACAAAACTTCAATTGCTTAGAATATATATTTTTTTATTTATTTATTTTTTTGAGATATAGTCTCACTCTGTTGCCCGGGCTAGAGTGTCATAGTGTCAGCCTAGCTCACAGCAACCTCAAACTCCTGGGTTCAAGCAATCCTTCTGCCTCAGCCTCCCAAGTAGCTGGGACTACAGGCATGCACCACCATGCCCGGCTGATTTTTTTACATTTTTTTTTTTTTAGTTGTCCAGCCAATTTCTTTCTATTTTTTCAGTAGAGATGGTGTCTCACTCTTGCTAAGGCTGGTCTCGAACTTCTGAGTTCAAAAGATCCTCCCACCTTGACCTCCCAGAGTGCTAGCATTACAGGTGTGAGCCACCACACCTAGCCCTATATATATTTTTAAATAAAGTTTAGTTTAAAAAGTCATATATTTAATAAATGAAATTATTCTACCTCAATATAAGAAGGTATCTAGTACTTTAATAAACTATGGATGTGGATACATTTTTTTAATTTTGAAATTGGATGATAGTCATCAGCCACCTAGACATATGAATAATTGAATTTCTGGAAGAAAAGTCATTTTACATAAAAAACAATATTTACAAGATATATTAAAAATAAAAATCTTAAATAGATTTTCTTTACTGTGACATTGGGGAAAGAGTTTGACATATCATTCAATCACAATGAATGAGTTGAGCTTCTAGTGGCATGGGGGCTAGTGAGGTGGGGACTTAACTTGTGGAGTGCACTATGTCACCTCTGTTATAGTTCATGGACAGGACTAGAAAATAAAGTGTCTTGCTTCAGTCTACTGCAAAATGATTTACCTCTTTTTATATCTCATTTATTATCATTATGTGCTTGTATTTTATAACAATAATCACACTTTACCATCTAGTGAGCTTTTACACTTTTGTTAGTTCCTACCAAGGATAATAATAAGCACACGATATGTTTTCTAATACCACTGAAAACTCAAGAAATAATATGTCAGAGAAAACTCTACCATTTTTTAACACTGCTATAAATAGGTTTGTGGATAGCTTTATGACATTTTCAAAAATTGAAGAAAAAGATAGATTTCTATAATATGTCTGGATATTACATAAAATTGGATGTGCTGTAAGACAATAATGCATTCTGAAAACAATTCTACTCAGTCAAATTCTAATGTTAACATATTATTATAAGGTAGTTCTTGGTCCCATTTTTCACTTGCAGGTGATACACAGATAGCCCATTGAACTAGGGGACTAATAGTCTCTAACAAATCAGGAAGAGAACATAGATAATTCTTTAGTCTACTCTCTCTTAAATTTTGGTGCAATCACTTCTCTCTATCCTTTAATCTGAGGCAAAACACCTGAAGTCTTTAAAGAGGTATTTAAGTAATAAGAAGATAGGAGTTATTAATCCTAAACATCATCTACAAGATATGCTGTACACATTGTAACTAATGAAGAATACTCAGATGTGTTAGCAGATACTTGATAACAATAGAAATGCGGTCAAGGCATTTGTTACATTGCTAAACTAGCATATGTAGTTATGCTTGGATACATGTTACAGAAGCACAAAGAATGGCTTTGGCTGTTGAAGTCAATATTCACTCATCCTGAAGCAGTTGAGAATACAATTGCTTAGTAATTTCTCCCCATTTACTCTTGTCCCCCCCCCTCATTACTTGTACAATTATTTATGAATAATGTTAGTTAGATAAACTTTTTTTTTCAGAAAAGATGTCACTTGTGTATTATTATGTAAGTTATATTGATTTATCTGCTAAGAAAATTGTCATACAGGTTTGATTTTCATTTTGATAGAATCTCAGAAGAAACATCAGAGATGTGTTTGGAAGGAGGGCAAAAAGGGATGTCACATGCACAGCAGATTTCATCACTTTTCTTATCATAACATCATTTTTGCTCTACCATCTTTACAACCAGCACAGTCATTAGTATTTATTATTATAACATGTTATAAAAATGGCAATTCATTTTGAAGCTTTTCACTTCATTCAATCAACTTCCTGGAGACTTTCATTGTCTTTCATTTATTTTGAGAGTCAAAAATAAATTTTGTTCCAAAAACAAGATTTGAATTATAATCCTCAGATATTTCTGATTTTTCAGCACAAGTAAACAGGTAGCAGACTTAGGAGGAAAAAACACAGAAAATTTAGAGTGTAGAAGTGGTGAAATGTTGAACCCAGGTGACTCACGTTATTGGAGTCTGAACAGTGAGTGTGCACCTACATGAACTCTGGGCTGTAAAAGTCCCTGCCATTTCCTGAGGGGGCTGCAAGGCCAGCGTTGAAAGGCTTCTACTTGTGATTCCAGATATCTCAGCAATGTATTTCACTACATAAAGTTCCTGCTTACTGATAGAAACAAAAATGTAAAGAATGTTTAAATAGGAATATGAAGAGCTACGATTTATGGGTATTATGTAGGTATTATCCACAACCCTGTAAGGTACACATTATTATTCCCACTTACAGATGAAGAATCTGAAGCTTGAGATTAAAGGAACAATTTGTCCAAGATGATGCACTAGTATGGAGGCAGAATTCAAAGATAAGGTTGCCTATTCCAAAGTCCTAGCACATAGCTGCTAAGCTAAAATGCTGATTATACAAATAGTGGAAAGTTTGCTGTTCTCCCAAGAAATCACCTAAGGCTAACTTAAATCCTCCATGTATTCATTGAGAAGAGAAATACTTTTAAACCTATGAAGAAGAGCAAACACTATCTCCTTCATTGCACTCTGAAAAATAATAATTCAGCATTGGAAACAGAGAAGACTCACCTCTCTACACATCCCAAAATGAGCAAAGATGAAGTCCAGTTATGATAAGTACATCTCTGCATAAGCTCCTCTCTCCTCTAAAGGGTTCAAATACTAACAGAAAAGAATTCAGGAGATGCTAAGGGGTCCCCCTTCCCTTGTGACCACTACAGCATAAGAAAAAAAAAAGGAACTAGAAGATACTTATAACATTTTAATGAAAAGAGTTTTTTATATATTTAGTGCTCTTTTCAAGTCAATACTAATAGATATATAGTGTAATAGTTATTCCATGTGCTATTTCTTCAATTAAGATATAAATGTTCTTAACACAGTTGGATGTACTTTGTGAAATAAACACCAACAATGAACAGATAAAATTACTCAATAATTGATTGGTAAACACCATGTAACTATGGAATAATTATATGCCCTGTGAATTATATAGTACTTATGGTTGACATTATTTAGGAAACCTAAGAAATGAACTTGTAATTTGTACTTATCAGATTTCAAGTCCAAACAACCAGTTAAGTATCCTGTTATTATATAGAAGTATCCTATCATTAGATACCTGGTCAGTAATAATCATGCAATTAGTTACACATATCATACCCAAAAGCAAAATGCAATTATAATATCATTGGGACATCAAGAAACAATTTATCAATTTAGCACATTTTGAAAGAAAAAAAGAAAAGATGCATTTAAATATAGTGCCTCAGTCATGCATGTAATCATCCAATAAGTGTTCCCACAGTTATAGGAAGAAACAGCTGACTGGCTCGATGTCATTATTTAGGTTTTTCTCAACTCAAATATCAGCTACTTAGCAGAGCCTTTCTTGGCCTTCCTTTCTAAAGTGGTCTCTATTCCAATCCCTTCTCCAAACATTCTCTATCATATAACTCTGTTTAAAATCATCATTGCACTTTTCTCTCTGAAATTACTTCATTATTTGTTTATTTTTTAAATATTTATCTCTCTCCAGTAGACAGCAGATCTTGTTTTCTTTACATCAGAGAAGACACTTTGTTAAATAACTTTCTCTCTCTATTAGAAAAGTGACTTTGTCTGTTTGTTCAGTGCTATAATCCCAGTACACAGCACTTGGTAGGCACACGGTACCACACTGGAATGTTTGTTAGTGAATGAATGAATTCCTGAGTACGTGGTTTGGACAAGGCACTTTGAGCATCAAACAAGACAGATCCTCTGCCTCATGGGTCTTGCATGCCAAGACTCTGAATTAATATGCCATGTACTTTCAAAGTAATTCCCAAAGCAGGCATACATTTTTTTTAAAAAAAAAAAGAACTAACCTTAACACTTAATTCAGTTATCCTCAATGCTACCATATTGTTTTAACCTGTTTCTACCGACTTTGCTTCATGTGAACATACTTCAAATTGTTTACCAGCGGTTTCTGACTATGCACATTTCTTTCTACAGACAACAACACTAATTGGTCTTCTGAAGACTGCCCGACTCCTTCGTCTTGTGCGAGTGGCCAGGAAACTGGACCGATATTCGGAATATGGCGCTGCTGTTCTAATGCTCTTAATGTGCATATTTGCCCTGATTGCTCACTGGCTGGCTTGCATTTGGTATGCAATCGGAAACGTAGAAAGGCCTTATCTGACTGACAAAATCGGATGGTTGGATTCCTTAGGACAACAAATTGGGAAACGGTACAATGATAGTGACTCAAGTTCTGGACCATCGATTAAAGACAAATACGTCACAGCACTTTATTTCACCTTCAGCAGCTTAACCAGTGTAGGATTCGGGAATGTGTCTCCTAACACCAATTCGGAGAAAATCTTTTCAATTTGTGTCATGTTGATTGGCTGTAAGTAGATTTCTCTTCTGTTACCTATTATGATAAAATAATACCATGAAATTAGTATCTCTAAAACATTTAGAGTAAGGCAAAGAAAAATTACAAGAAACTGTGGAGATAATGGGATTACATGTATGGGTACTATATTCTACCAACCTGATTCTGTCTGTGAAGTGGAGACACTGATAGTTCTTTCAAACCTTAAGAATCAATGGGAATAAAATTGGCGTAACATGAGTCTTGGGATTCCAGAATGGAAACTTGCAGTTCACTTTTACAGCTATAAAAGGAGTATCTGTAATTTATCGCCAATGGTTATTTTCTATTTCAAGCTGAGGCTAGATTAGAATGGGAAATATTAGCTTACATTACATACCATATATATAGAGAGAGAGAGATGTAGATACAGATATTAACAGAAACATATATATCATATATATCACCATACCAATTATAACATAAATTAATCTTTTCTATGTATGTGTGTATATACACAATGCACACACATACTTATACATAATATAGATGTGTTTTTCCCTGTCATTGACTAAAAATTCCTTTTCCTATGACATTATACCAAGACCGAAATGATTTCCCTTTGCCCTATACTATAATGGGCTTGTGTCATGAGTATCATTTACAATGAGTATTCTTTGGGAAGAAAAAAAGAATCTGTGTTAAAAGATGTTATAATGTTAATATTTTTTTTAAAAAAAATCACACTGTGGAAACACTGAAGATAACCTTGCTGATACTAGGTAGCAATTGGCAAAAACATGATGGATTATTAAAGCTTCCAAAAGAATATTATCCTTAGATTGCATAGAAAGTTGAAAATCGATCTTGATAGTTGATTTTTAAATGTCAACATACTAATGAAATGTGCTTAAATGAACCGTATTTATGAAACTTAAATAGATTCATCCAGTTTATTGTCTACTTTATATAAAATATACTTTTGATATGTATATATGTTTTAGTGTTTTTATTTTAGTAACACTTACATAAACAAATAACATTATATTTAAATGATTCTTAATATTCTACTAATTCAGTCCAAGACTTGGCTACAAACACAGAAGTAGTATTGTACCCAAAAGGAAATGAAAGTGGAACCTGCTAGGAAAAATAGAAATTGCATTCCAGAGAGACTGAATCTCTCAGAGCAAACACAATCCCAACCATTTTGTGATTACAGCTACTCTACTAGTAAATACTTTATAGTGGTCATAAACTTTAGTGGCATAGGTAGCAAACAAGTAAAAGGAAAAGAAATGTTCTTAATTAAGCTATTATATAGAAAAAAATACCTTTTTAAGAAAACAGAACCTGTATTTTTTAAGAAAGAGTTTTAAAAATGCACTGAAGTTTAGCCAGTTCACCACTTATTATAGTAATTCATGCCATTTGTGGGGATTAAGTGAAATACATAGTACTATTTATTCTGTGAATTATTTTAAATTGAAGAAACTCAGTTCTGGTTGTTTTTTGTTTTTGTTTTGTTTGTTTGTTTTTGAGACAGAGTCTTGGTCTTGCACCCTGGCTAAAGGGCAGTGGCATCATCATAGCTCACTGCAACCTCAGACTCCTAGGCTCAAGCGCTCCTCCTGCCTCAGCCTCCCAAGTAGCTGGGACTTCAGGCGCACACCACAATACCCAGCTAATTTTTTTATTTTTTGTAGAGGTGAGGTCTCACTCTTGCTCAGGCTGGTCTCAAACTCCTGGCCTCCAGCGATCCTCCTACCTTGGCCTTCCTAAGTGGTAGGATTACAGGCATGAGCCACTGCACCTGGCCAGAAAGCTCAATTCTTTACTTGCTCTACACCTAATCTCTAATCTCTAAATCAGGGAATTACTGGCAGTTTTCTTCATTCCTTCCTTTGGTTTCTTTTTAAATATAGTGCTAGACTATTTCTATTGATTCTTTAAGAATACATGTTTTCTGCAGATGAATTTCATCTCTTAAGAAAAGACACTAGTCAAATTTGGTATAATAAGATATACCTACGTTCCACATAACATCATTTATTTGAATAAAAGACTTGGTTCCATAAGTCTTAATCAAAATAGGATTATTTAAAGCTTAATATCACACAGGAAAAGTTTATAGGTATTCCTGGAGAACTGTATCATAATCTATTATGCCATAAATAAAGGAAAAGGGTAAAATAGAGACTTGAAACTTAGCAATAATAAGAATGCTCCTGAAATTTGCTCAGCCATTTGATGTGCATGGGTGTACATGTGCGTGATATTTCCAGTTAGAAGCAACTATATTAGAAAATGATTTGGTTATCTGTTTGCTGTATTTATAAACTAAGCACATATACCACAGACCTATGAGTAGCCTGATTTCAATCTAAAATAAAACAACCAAAATATGTAAAATGTCATATATATGCAAATTATAACTATAGTAATTGAACTTTCTCATCATCCTTGAGCTTCTTTAAATCTAATCTTTATTCTAAAAGAAAAATTTTAAGTGAAATTGTAGAAAACAAGGTAATCAACCATCCATCTTACAGCAATGTAATTCAAGGGAACTAAAAATAAAACCTTAAAAAGTATAATCTAACAAAATGCAAATAACTCAAATGCCTATAGATACATTTTTAAAGCTATAATTTATAAAGACGGTTTTTGTGCTGCTGACTGTACAGAGAACAGTAATCAGGGAATTAATTTTATTTCTCTATTTATTTTTAGAGAATTCATTTCAAAAGTGTGCATAATTCAAAATGATAAACAAAGGGAAAGTTATACAGTCATTAAATAATTATAAATATAAGTTATGCTCATATATTCATATCTATGTTTTCTGATATAAACATAATTCTATATCTTTATTCAAACACTATAAATGTAATGTATATATTTAATTTAAAAAACACATAACCCAGTAAAACAGAGGAAAACCTATTCCATTTCTGACTTGCTTGAGAAACATCTTGGGAGAATTCTTTATTTTTATGACATGTAAAAAAAAGTTACTGGAGTTCTGCCTCCAGACATGATGGAGTTACTAAAGCTTTACCTTCCTTGTATTAAAAACAAATAAAACAAATAAACAGAAAACTGAACAAAATATATGTCAATTATTTTCAGACACTGGAAAATAAATAGGGGAGTCTTGATCCCTGAAAGAAGGAAAACAAAAGGGTAGGGCGTGATGCCTGTAATCCTAGCATTCTGAGTGGCCGAGGCAGGAGGATTGCTTGAGCTCAAGAGTTCAAGACCAGCCTGAACAAGAGCAAGACACCTGTCCCTACTAAAAAAAATAGAAAAATTAGCCTGGTGCAGTGGCATGCACCTGTAGTCCCAGCTACCTGGGAGGCTGAGGCAGCAGGATCACTTGAGCCCAGGAGTTTGAGGTTACAGTGAGCTATGATGACACCACTGCACTCTAGTCAAGGTGACAGACCAAGATCCTGTCTCAGAAAAAAAAAAGAAAAGAAAAAAAAAAATGGGCCCCATGTTATTGTTGGTTTTCTGCTTAGAGGCACTTTCTGGACTACAGCAACCAGTGAAGGGAAAAAATAACCTTCACAGACCACAGTAGTCTTGCTGGGTTAAGAAAATTTTTTTTAAAAAGCAGTTACAGAGGCTAAGGTGCTGGAATTTTCAAGACAGACAACAGAGAAGAGGCAGCTTTGGCAAAGAAAAGCTCCAGAAACCTGCGCAGGTATCCCCTTGCGTCTACTGATGAATGCTAAGTCACAATTGCGTGAAGTGAAACTCCTCAAGGCCTGGCAAAGAAATAACAGAAGTCCTGTAACCTGAACAGTTTCCAGGTCTCACACAGGTATGGGAGATTTTCAAATTCCAACCAGCAGAGTGGAAAGCTCTTATTGAACATTCAGAGTATTCATTAGAAATAAATCTAAGAAATATTGTGTCATATAATGCTAGAACTAATCTTCCCCTCACAAAGCTTAAAAGCAACCTTCAAAAGGTACAAGCTGATTTGCAACTGGTTTACCTGCCTACAAGAACAACATCTAATGTTTTTTTGAAGACAAAAAAAAAAAAAGTACAGCAGTGGACAATGTTAACTGTAAAATGCCCAGCATCCATTAACAATTAATAGATACTATAAGAAAAATAAAAATATGGCCCATAAGCAGGAGAACAACCAAAGCAAATGGAACCAGAATTGACACAGATGATGGGACTAACAGACAATACCAAGCACTTGAACACCCATGTACATGGAGCCCAAAAAATGGTGGAGGCAAGCTGGAAAAAAAAAATCATGGCTGAAAATTATTCAAAATTGATGAAAATCATAAACCAAAAATACAAGAAGCACAGTGACTTCCAAACAGGTTAAACATGAGTAAAACATACCAGGGCACATCATAATCAAATTACTGAAAACTAGTGATTAAAGTATCAAAAGCCACTAGTGGGAAAAGGACACATTATGTACAAAAGAAAAACATAAGGTTGATAGAGTTCTTATTAGAAACAATGAAAGCCAGAAGACAATAGAACAAAACTCTTAAATTGCTGAAAGAAAAAACTCTTTCAATGTAGAAATTATGTTTAATTAAACTGTCCTTCAATACTGACAAAACCTGACATAACTCATCATAAGCAGTATACAAGAAATGATAAAGCTATTCAGGTAGTAGGAAAATGGTGCCAGATGAAAATCTGGATCAACACAAAGGAATGAAGAACCAGAAATGGTAAATATGTGAATAAATTTAAAAGACTTTTTCTTTATTTTTAAATGTCTTCAAGAAATACATTTTTGATTTTTTATATTTTTGAATGCTTAAAGCGAAAATAATTTCAACTAATGTGCAGGTTTTATATCATATGTAGATGGAGGAAGTATGATAATGAAATCACAAAAAATGGGAAAGGGAAATGGAAATATTTTGTTATAAGATTCCTAAGTCATGCATGAAGTGGTATTATATTATTTAAGATAGATAGTGATAAATTAAAAATGTATATTGTAAATCCTGCAAGTATAGCTAAGAAGCTATTAGGGAAAA